AATTTTTTTGTATTTTTAATAGAGACGGGGTTTCACCGTGTTAACCAGGATGGTCTTGATCTCCTGACCTCATGATCCGACCACCTCGGCCTCCCAAAGTGCTAGGATTACAGGCGTGAGCCACCACACCTGGCCCCATCTGACTTTTCTACATTTTATTTATTCAGGAAAATAGACAGATGATGGCATTTGTCTCATAATGTTTTGTAGGCAATTCTGTGGGAAAGAAGCACTCGTTGCTCTATTTTCACATACGTCCTCTTCTCTTCGGTGACAGAGACACACTCAGGAAGGCTGGACCCACAGAGGCTGCCCACCTTCTTCACTGATTTCTACTTGATTGATTCCTTCCTGATTGATTTCCAGGATCTCTGAAACGAGAAGCCCTCCCCTTTATATGTTTAATCAGATATTGCAAAGTGCACCTGAGAACGAGCCCATTGGCAGCAGATTATGAAGGGGGTCTATGTTTTGAACATGCTGAACTGCTCTGGTTTGTGACTGGGGAAGATTAAAGGCCTACAACAAAAATGAGTGCTGGATATTGCTAACAAGGGAGGCTTCCTGTAATTTCTCAGGCCGTAAGTATTTAGTGAGTATTTACAGGGTGTGGATTATTTTCAGAAACTCTTAGACCAAGAAACTTAGGGACTGCATCTGTCTCACTTACTGGTATGTCCCCAGGGATACACTGGTATCCCTGTCTCGCTTACCGGGGTCTCTCCTACGGGGACTGGCACATAAATACAGAAATACTAGACGTAAATGCTAGTTAAATGAAGGCACATCTGAACAAATAAGTGAATGAATGATCAAGCGAATCTACTCATTCAGTCCCTGAGGCTTTGTAACCTCAGTACCAAGTACAATGCCTGCCATGAATTAGGCAATCAATAGAGGTTTGGTCACATGAATAAATAAGTCCAATCAAGCATTAATAACTTACGCAAGTATTCAGTTTGACTATTAAAAATTTTCCAATATAGTTGCTATCTAATAATTGTCATACTCTTTCTGCACCCCACATCTACAGAGGGTCCACTGTTGACGCCAGCATTGCATTTCCCATGTTCCTGCTTGACACACCTGTGCAGGTGGCATGGTTTTAGCAGAGAGATCCAGAGAGAAGCATCTGCATTACAGTTAGACTGGAAGAAAAGTTATTGAGACTTTAAGGTAACCAGCCTTACCTGGGTCACAGAAGTGTGTATGGAGAAGAGCTCCTGCCAGCTCAAGTGTTGTCTCCTCTGATCAGAGTTCTCCTTGTACAGCTTATTTCTGCTGTGATAGAAAAACTGTCTGGGTGTCACGGAGAGAACTGAAGACAAGAAGTGGGAACCCTACCTTCTGAATACAGCACTAGAGCTAATGTTAAGAGTGAAGGAAAAAAGCTAAGAGTAATTCCTATTGGTGAACTCATTTAATATTCACAGACACCTAGGAGATAGATAGTATTATTATTATTCCCACCTTATAAGAAACTGAGACCCAGAGAGGTTAAGTAAATTACTCAAGATTAAATAGCATAGATGGCAGAACAAAGATGCAAACTCAGAAAGTCCGGCTCCATTCTTTATTTTCTTTTCTTCTCTCT